GCAGGCGCGGTGCGCCGCGCCGGCCTCGGGCTGCGGAGAAGGGGCGGTTCTTCTCGCCCAGCTGAGCAAGCCACAGAGCCCCAGATGCATTTTTCTAGCCCAAGCCAGGCCCTCTCGTTTTTCTCTGAAAAAGAAGTGGCATCGTGAAAGAATGTTTTCAGTCGAGGGCTTCTCTGAGTGCAGCGTTGGTTTTTACGGTTTGGAAGAGAATTGGATAAATTTCTTGCACAGCGTGCACATCCCTGTACCAACTTTGACTCACCGGGACCAGGATCTGACCCCACCGGCTTTGCCCTTGGATGAGATAGTTAACCATTCTAAGCCTCGGTTTCTTCACTCGTAAAATGTGAACGATAATCAACTGTTTCGACATCATCACTTTCCACTTCGACCTCCATGATGCTTTTGTGCCCTTCACACCAAAGGAGGTTGCCTTTCTCAAGTCACCAGTGACTTCCATGTTGCCAATGCCATTTGTTACTTATCTGCCCTGATTTTTTTCTCTACCTCTCAGTGGCTCTCAAAGCAGTACCTTATACCATTTTTAAAAAAAGATTTTATTTATTTATTTGAGAGGGAGAGAGTAAGAGAGAGCATGCAAGCGAGAGCGCAAGAGCAGGGGGAGGGAGAAGCAGATTCTCTGCTGAGCAGGGAGCCCCACCCCAGGCTCAATCCCAGGACCCTGAGATCATAACCTGAGCGGAAGGCAGAGGCTTAAGTGACTGAGCCACCCAGGTGCCCCCCTCCCATGCCATTTTTAAGACACATTCTTCTCTTGCCTTCAGGGACATCATACTTATATTCTCCCTTCCTCTCCACTCCTATTTCAACAGCTGCTCCCAAGGCCCCATCACCAACCTCCCGCTCTTCATGTGTGCTCTACCATGCTGGAAATTCTGTCAAGGCACCGATGGATGCCCAATTCTCTATTTTCAGCCCTGTCCTCCCTCCTGCTCCTTCAATTTAGACCAGCTGCTCACTTAACATGTATCCAGTAGGCATTTCCAAGCCAACATACCCCAAATTGAAGACTTGATTGCATATTCATCTCCTGACTTGCTCATCCTCCGGTCTTTTCCATTTCAGTAAATGGCCCCACCATCCGCCAAGTTGCTCAAGTTAAGCCACCTGAAATCACCTGTTTTCTCTCTTCCTCATCCCCCATATTAACTCATCAGATCCAATCCACTCTATTTCTAAAGTATTCCTGGAACCTGCTCCCCTTTCTCCATCGTCATTATAATCACCCTAGACCAGGACACTGTCATCTTACACTAGGAACACTGACAGGTCCCCTGATACTACTCTTTTGCCATCTACACCCCTGTAATCCATCCTTGACATGGCAGCCAAAGAGAATTATCTAAAAGAGCAATCAGATCATGTTGCTCTCCTTCTTTAAAGCCTTCAGTTGCTTCCTGTGCCCACAGAATAAAATTCAAACTCCTTACTTGGCTTACAGTCCTAAAATTTGACCCCTTCCTGATACTCTATCCAAAGCAAGTACGAGTTTGAACTGTGTGGGTCCACTTATATGCAGATTTTTTTTCAATAAATACATTGGAAAAATTTTTGGAGATGTGTGACAATTAGAAAAAACCTGAAGAGGAACCACATAGCCTAGAAATACCAAAGAAAGAAAAATTACATATTATTCCAAGAATATAGTATATAATACATATACAAAATTGTGTTAATCTACTATTTATATTATATCGATAAGGCTTCTGGCAAACAGTAGACTATTAGTTAAGTTTTGGGGAAGTCAAAAGTTATATGTGGATTTTCAACTGCTAGGCGATCAGTTCAAGGGTCCACTGTACTACTCACCTATTATGACCTCGACATTTAAGCCATAGTAACCTTGTGTGTGTGTTCCTTGAAAATTCCAGGTTCATTTCCATCTTGAGGCCTTTTCATAAGCTTTTCTCCAAAATGTCCCAGTGCTGGCTTCTTCATGGCATTCAGATCTCAACTTAAATATCCCCTTAGGTAGTTCTTCTGAGATCATTCAAGTTATCCACACAATCACTTCCTGTACACAACCTGTTTCTCAACTTAGTACACATAACTATCTGATAATTTATTTAATAATTATTTCATTAAGAAAAAGTTGTTTATTATTTTTTTTAACACCATTTATTTTAAATTCAGGGTTGGGACTAGGGTGAGGCAGGTAAGGCATTCACTTCAGGTGCAAAATTTAAGGGGAGCCAAAAAACTCAGTATTCAAAATGAATAATATTTTAATGCAATATTTAAAAAATTCAGAATTCATGCAAAAAATGTGATGAACAAAATATCAAACGTAAACAGTAAATACTGATTGTTTTGTTGTAGGAATCAAATAAGATAAAGCATGTGGCTTATGGTTGAGCAGGGGGAACCCCTCTTCCCCCCTCTGGATGATTTCTTCCATGTGGAGGAAGCTCCTTCACAGTATAACACTCCAGGCCTTTCCTGGAGGAGGAGAGGTGACTATGTTGGTTAGTAAGCTAGGGACAAAGGAGCCTGGCCCCATCCTCTTTTCTTTATGTGGCTGCAAACTTCCAGCAGAGAACACTCATTCTATTCCACAAGGACTGGCTGCCTGGTGAGGAGGCTGGGGCGACCCAGTGCTTTCTGTGACTGGATAGGCAAGTCTTAAGCTGAGGTTCAATAAGAGGAATTCTGCTTGCCCATAAATATTGTATAAGCCATGTGCTTCATCAGCCTTACCAGAAATGAAAGCGATGTTTTGGCCACTTTATGCTGACGCTCTTATCTTATTTCTCAGTTGGTTCAGACAAGTAAGGGAGAGGGGTGCTGTCACTGAGCCCTCCCCCAACCTCCCAGAAATAGTACCTGGTACAGAGTAAGTGATCAAATGAGCAAGTCTATAGAGAAAGATGCGTCACTATTTAGTAGATTTGGAAACCACAGGTATTGAGAAATAATAAATCTTTTAAAATTTTATTCAATTAAATAAATACCTCCGCTCATAAATTTTCAATTTAAAGTACCAAATCAGAACGAAAGACTCTGCCCATCACTAGGAAATAGCTTTACTTGGTGTGCCCAATCATTTTTGTTTTGCCGATTGCATTATTGGTCTGTGGCATGTGTGTGTCTCATTTTGAGGTGTTTTATGAACATTTTTAATCCCATCATGTCTGGTAAATCCAAAATCAGTGGAAGTTTTAAAAGGGCCAATAAGAAAAGACAGTTATAAAGAAACAAAAGTCAGTTTTAGGAAATGAATGTAGAGAGAAAATGACTATTGTCACACAAGTTGTTTTGTAAGAATGATTAAGGACCAAGATTTGCAGCTTGTGACACATTGTGTTGATCTAAGTAAGGGTAATTAGCCAGAAACTAGGAAGGTTGACCGGCAAAATGAAATCAACAACAACAAAGTTTTCAAGTATAGAGAACCAACATCAATATTAAAGGCTATTGGCCTAAATTTAATCCATCAGTTGGTTGAGAGTTGATTTTATATTAGCAAAGCACAGAGAAAGCTTTGGTGATAAAACATTTGGGACAAGCACAAAAGCTGCTTAAGAAGGCCCCTAGACTATTGCTTCCCTGGATCAGCAAAATCAGCATCAGGTGGAAGCTCATAGAAAATGCAGAATCTCAGACTCCACCCAGACCTACTGAATCAGAATCCGAATTTTAACAAGATCCCCAGGGGATTCATATCAATTTAACATGTGAGAAGCACTGCTCAAGGACACTGGCCAAGGAAAGGGGTTCCTTGTCTCAATGGATTCTTCGAGTAGACAGTGAGAAGTGAGAATCTGGTGGAATTGGAACCAAAGAGAAAGATGCTATAAAAGAAGAAGCTACAGAACTCAGAATATTTCACACCGCTTTATTGGCAGAGGTCCTCGGGAGTAACTGAAAGGCACTATTGACATGTGAGTTACAGGAATCTTAGACTTGTAAAGGTATCTACAGTGCGCCGATATTAACTTATTTATAAGTTTTTACAAACTTATAAATAAGATGTAAATATTTTTGATATCTTTAATTTTAAGCATGTAAAGATGCCAGAAGAAACCATTTAAAAGCCTTAACCTTTTCTTGTGAACTAAGGAGTAGTTCCAAGAACAAGGTAAGCTATGGATGCTGGAAAGGTAACATCAGCATGGCATTTGGAAAAGGGAAGCAGAGACAGAGAGGTGGAGGAGGGGAATTCCAACAGGCAGGAGCAAGGGTTAGAGCTGAGTTGAAGAATAAATAAAAAGGAGGTACAGGGGAGGACGTCAAAGTCTGAAGCCAGAAGCTAACAGAAACCAAGAAGTCAGGTACTGTCCGGAAAGATACTCAGGGCCACAAAAGTGGGCAGGAAAGAGTATTTTCAATATGAACCCAGTTGAAGGAACAGTGAGAGGCAGCTCAGCTGTATTTATGTTTCAAAAATGTATCACACTAATGCAATGTAATCAGGCACCTAATCTCATCTTTTTGCTCAGATGAAAAACAGAAAGGGACTGCACAGTGCATTTGAGTAGGAAACCTCTTCTTTTTTGTTCATCTGTGTTTGGATCTGTATGATCTATGAAATATTCCTAAACCACCAAGTGAAGCCATTCATCAAAGTGGAGGAGCTCTACAAGGGTACAGGAGACCACATGCTATCCTCCTATAAATAAATGGTTTTCCCTAGAAAAAAGCATTTTTCAGAAATTACATCTCCTGCACCACTATAGAGTAGAAAATCTCTTCAGGTGGGGGAATTTAATTAACACTGAAACTTTAATAAGAATTAGGAGCACACACACAAAAAATTATTGAGACAATTATTACCTGTAGTTAACGATCAGCTTACTATAGGCAGGGGGGAAAAGGTCCTAATAATTGAAAAGGATTGCAGAGCAAAGCAAATATCAGGTTCTAGTGCGCAAAGAGTTCCTCTCTATCCACAGGAATTGTCCATGTCAGTGGAAACTGACACTTAGAGAGTCTAGTAGGAAACTAGAAAGAGTCCTTTAAAAGCAGTTGAACGGATGGTTCTCAACCCTGACTGCAGTTTGGAATCACCGGAGAAGCATTTTAAAAATACCTATTCCCCAGGCCCAACCTCCGGACACTCTGATTTAATCAGTCAGAGGCGCCGTATCCTCATCTGTGCTGTTTAAAAAGCTTTCCAGGTGATTCGAATCAACAGTGGGTGCCAGGAACACTGAGCTAAGAAGCTTCTGCAGCGAAAGGCAGCAGAAACTCTTGCTGGAACGGCACCTGTGATCGCAGAATCCACCGAACCCCTCCCTGACTTCAGGATTGTAGAAGGTAGTCTTCCCCCTCCTTTCCCAGCATCTTCAAAGGGCCAGCAGCCCCCTCACATTGGGTGCATGGGCCTGAGCCCTGCAGCCTCTGCCCAACACTTTGGGCTGGCTGACCCCAAAGGCCACAGTGTGAGGGGGACAAAGGGCGCTCCTCCGGGCACCGTGCCACACGAGGGAGGCCGAGTCT